GTTCCAGGTTGAATCCCCTAACCACTCTACCACAGCCGCCCCAAGGGTAGAACCTGAGGCGGGACCTTGTACGCGAACTCTGACGTGCGGCTGTGATTTATAAATGAAAGATGCGCAGAAACATGCGTACGCACGGTTTTATAAATCTGAATTTTTTTTGGCGTACGCCATTTCCGCCTTTTGGCCGTACGTTCACTTTTAGTATGGTTTCCACGCAATCCTTTATAAATGAGACCCCAGATGAGGTGAATTATTAAAACAAGACAGTATTTTCTTTCATCTTTTAAACACTAACACCCCACCTGTCCTTCACCGGGTCTTTCTTCTCCTTGTCCTCTTCACTGGCGCTCTCCTGGTCTGTGATGATGTCAGAGACCAGCTTGAGGGCCCGCTCTGTGATGGAAACTATTTTCTGGATGGACTGGAGCTCATCCTCTGACGGGTAAATAGCAGCATGCTTGGTCATGACGTAGCGGTCATCAGAGGAGTCAGGACGACGTGGAGGCTGGAAAACAGACAGTTTCAGCTTTGCCACTTTGACACACCAACAAAGACTCATCAAATGTTATTTTTATAATCTAATCCAGCCTTTAACTGTGCACCATTCAACAGGATGAAACGTGCTGTTCCTCAGAGGAATGCATATCGCCCAATGCCTTTCATTGCAGAGCTTTAACTACAATTCTCTCATGAAAACAGGGTGGCAGACATGTTGCTCCAGAGTGACAGTACAACCTTCATGTTAGGCCTCAGATAATGTGAGGATCAGTCTCAGCTACTACCACACGCTGCACAACATTACAAAAACCTGTTTATTTTCTTTAATATTATATTTTCCTCACTTTCTCTTCACTCATCCCTGTCAACTAAAGCAGGTGTGTTTAAATGTTCCTCTGGATGCATGATCATTTACTCATGTTACAACTAATTATAACAATTAGTTTAATCAATTATAATAACTGTAATTAGTAAGATATTTTCTTTAATAGATGTAAACACTTGTTTCTCTCCCTGCTACAAACTGTCACAATGAAACAAAGGTTTTATTCTAACTTTGATCTTGTGGCTCTAAACATACAGCATGTCGTTTAGTAGGAAAAATAAGACTTTTTTTTATTGTCCTAAAGGCTGCAGACTCTCAGGTTAAATTAAACAATAAGTTATTTTACTTCTGTGTGCTGCAAATCAAGATAATAAAAGTTATAAATCTTTACCATAGGACCCTGTGGCTGCAGACCAGGCATACCGGGCCGAACACCAAGAAGACCAGGAGGACCAGGGGGGCCCTGTGGATACCCTCCGTCTGGCATACGCCGCCGCTCATCCCAGTGATGCTGCTCCTCCTCCATACGCCTCCAGTACATGTCCTCCTCATAACGCCTAACAAAAAACAGTTTCCATGTTTGACACCTGACATCAGTGGCTCTTCTCTGACAATACAGACAGATGTTCTGATTTCTACTGTTATAGGAACTGACTTTACTCTCCTTATTAAAAAGTAAACACTGTTAAACAATAAATTGTCTCTCTCAGAATGCTGAGTTTATATCCAACTAGATGTGTGATTGTGTTTGGAAAAGGCAGTTTCTAAAAATCACAGCTCATTTTCACACTCGTCTTATAAAACTGTATTTTTAGTCATGCAGGATATTTGGTGCCCTCTCCACACACCTCAGACCATTTTGTACGCACCTTGGCTGCCACCTCCATGTTTAGAATTTAATCTACTGGATTAAATTTCTGAACAGATTTGGATCAGTTTCTAAAAAGAATCATTATTGATCACGTGTAGTTTCAGATCTAATTTTGTGCCTCGTTTGTTTCCTGTCAGAAGAGACTTCAGAGTCCAGCTCCAGGACTTGAGATGAGACGCCAGCAACACCTCTGGCTAATTTAAGGCAACAGTTGTTGCATCAAATCTTTGAACAGGTTGAAATGAAAGCGAGAGGACTGAGAGCCTCTGCAACACATGATGAAACTGAAGCACACGTTGGACTTTCTGGAAGCTCCTTCTTTAAAACTCTTCACCCACTAGTGTCAGCCCATTGAGACCCCAGCTGTCCAAACACTCATCCTTCCTGTTAATGGGGGTCCATCCTCTCCATGGTGTCCCTGCTCAGGACAGTCTCACTGAACTGTGTTTGTGACCAGCAGTAAGTCTGGACAGTCAGGACTTATTTTCATGTGTCCAACTAGAAAACCTGTTTTCTGGGCCGTACACATTATTTTCCTGTCCTCCTCTGCCTGCACCATGACAACCAGCTTAATAAATATTATTTAGAGCTGGTGTGGGTTTTAGACCTGGACATTCAGGGCTGTAGCCTCGAGGATTTTCTGTAATAAACAGCTTCCTGCAGATGTCCAAATCCATCTCCTGCACTCAAAATTCACAAAAACTAAATCTGAGAAGGAARATGTCTGAGACGACTCTGACTCTTTGGAGAACTTACAGAATTTTTTAACACGTTCAAATTTGTGTATCTTTAATTGGACAGCACTTTGGTTGGCCGTGTGCTGTTTTAGTGCTTTATAAATAAAAGTGGTGAAATTCAAATTGCAGGACTCTGTGACTCGTGCAAGGATTCTGAGAAGACAACTCCCTCACCAACGCTGCTCTCTAACCGTTCTCCAGCACAGACCAACATAACTGTCTTTTTATAATTGCACTAAATCTGATGGATCATGTACATGTAAAATACTTCAGTGAGGGATATGCTTGTGATTGGACCACAGCCTTACCTCATCTCCATCCTCCAGCGTTCCTCCTCCTCTCGTCGTCTCCAGTATTCTTCTTTCTGCATCTGTTTCCTCATCTTCTCCTCTTGAATCTTTCTGGCCCGGATGCTGGGCTTGACCTCGACCTGCAGATCAGGGTTCACTTTCTTCTACAAGATATACAGAAAAAACAGGTTTTATTGGTTTGAGCAGATTTCCTGCATTAATGAAACTCATTAAAAAGTTTTGACCTGCTTATTTCATTCAGTTTCACAGACAACAGGTTTGAGAACAATAAACTAGATCAGTGGCTGGAACCAAGAACAAAATTCACAATTTAACTCAGTTTTAGGATAAGTTTCTTCCTTCATTTTAGATTTCTATAATAATCTTTTTTCTTATTTTAATAATATTTTAATAAACTGAATAAATAAAATAAATAAATAAATTGGATCTGTTTTACACAAATGTTAAGGATTCTTATATCGCCAATGCAAGACCTATGGGTAATTCAGATCACAACCTTGTTTATCTGTGCTCAGAATATAAACCACTTGTTCAGAGACAACCTGTAACTACAAGTACTGTGAGAAAGTGGTCACAGGAAGCTGAAGAAGCCCTACAGGGATGTTTTGAAGCTACAGATTGGATTGTTCTTTGCCAACCGCATGGAGTTGACATAAATGCCATGACTGAGTATGTGACTGACTACATAAACTTCTGTGTGGACAACACCATCCCCAGCAGAACAGTGAGATGCTTCCCTAATAACAAACCCTGGATCACCAGTGAGCTAAAGGAACTTTTAAACAAGAAAAAAAAGAGCCTTTAGGGATCGAGACAGGGAGTTATTGAGGAGTATACAGAAGCAGCTCAAAGTCAAGATCAGATGCAGCAAGGGGGTTTATAGAAGGAAGCTGGAGAGTAAACTGAAAAGGAACAATATCAGAGATGTGTGGTCAGGGATGAAGAAGATCACAGGTTTCAAGCAAAAGGAGAATCGGATGGATGGAAGTCTGGACAGAGCAAATGAGCTGAACACATTCTTCAACAGGTTCAGCTCAGGAACAAGCTCATCTTCCTCCTCTCATGTCCCCAGCCAAACAGACATCTCACCCTCCTTTGACCCACAGCTTTCCTGTCAAACCTCAGATGTTTTATCTTCAACCTCAGTCATGGATTTTTCTTCTACATCCACAAGTTTGTCTTCAACTAAATCAGGAGATACTGCTGCTCCCTTTCCCTCCCCMTCCCACTTTTCTGTATCTAGAAGTCAGGTGAAGAGGCAGCTAGAGAGACTGAACCAGAACAAGGCTGCAGGTCCAGATGGTGTCAGCTCCAGAGTCCTGAAGGCCTGTGCAGACCAGCTCTGTGGGATTCTGCAACACCTCTTCAACCTTAGCTTGACCCAGGAGAAGGTGCCAGTGTTGTGGAAGACATCCTGTCTGGTTCCAGTASCAAAGAAAACTCACCCATCAGCCCTCAATGACTATAGACCTGTTGCCCTGACATCCCACATCATGAAGGTCCTAGAGGGTCCTAGAGAGACTCCTTTTGACCCACCTGAGTAAGCAAACAAGCACACATCAGGACCCCCTGCAGTTTGCTTATCGTCGTGGAGTTGGGAGTTGACGACGCCATCATACACCTGCTTCAACAAACCCACTGTCATCTGGATAATGCAGGCAGCACTGTGAGGATCATGTTCTTTGATTTCTCCAGTGCTTTTAACACCATTCAGCATGAGTTGCTTTGTCTGAAACTCCAGAAGACTCCGGTGGAGGCCTCAACAATCGCCTGTATCAAAGACTACCTGACAAACAGACCACAGTTTGTGAGACTGAAGGACTGTGTCTAACCATGTGGTCAGCAGCACAGGAGCACCACAGGGAACTGTACTCTCACCATTCCTGTTCACACTGTACACTTCAGACTTCCAGCACAAGTCAGACKGCTGTCATCTACAGAAATACTCAGATGACTCTGCAGTTGTTGACTGTATCAGAGATGGACAGGAAGCTGAGTACAGAGAGCTGGTGGACCGCTTTGTGACATGATGTGGGAACAATCATCTCATCTTGAATGTGAACAAAACAAAGGAGATGATTGTAGATTTCAGGAGAAATAGTG